AGAACCCTCGTTCAGTGAAGATGGATTGCTAGATACCGGATTTTTGTCTCCAGCTAGTGGCTCGTTTGTTTGCTGCGTATCAATTGCTCTAGGTCTTTCGTCGTCAAGGAAAGCAGTCAGGTCTCTGGTCACAATGCTGGTCAAGTCTAAATCGACAAGGGAGTTAGTGATCTGTGGCTGCTGTACATAACTGTCCCCTGGATGCGATGTCGCAGGTTGATAGCGACGGTGGTGCTTTGTTTTAAAAATCATAGGCTCTAAATTATCCGCTGCACGTAGCGTTGTTAGTGGAGAGTCGAGGGGGCATATTATACTTATGGACTGGTTATGGGTGTCATCGTGTGTAGGTAACCTTAATGTTGGGGTGTCAGTTTGGCAGTTGGGAACGAGACTAGCAACGGTTGTAGATGTGACCCCATTTGAGGGTAACGAGTCGCGTCGAGAGATAAGGTCAGAATCTCCATGCAGGAGTAATCTTTGTAAAGGTGTTCTGTCAGCGATTACTCTCAGGGTCTTAAAGGTAGTGTTGGCAGCAATTAGATCACGTCTGCTTATAAACTCACTAGCGGTTAAAGCGCTATTAAATTTGAATAGGATTGGACACGAGTAGCGCTGGACTTTCTTTCTGAGTCTTATGCAACTGCATTCCGTGCCAACCATGTTAGCAGCTTTAAGTGATATATCTCGCAAGGCTGCAGGCGGAATATTATCCGGGACATTAAAAACAACTGCATTTCTAGAACGATGCATCCTAGAGACTACTTCTGCTGCGATGGAATCGATAAGAGAACCTGCGGGTAACATATGCTCTACTTTGGGACTCAACGTCTTTTGCATTAGGGCAGTTATAGGTTCCAGTTCACGGAGGACAGTCAGAGAACTATCTATCGACAACATTTTCACTTTAAGCTGGGTGACTTCATCTTGGATGTTTTGCAAGTTAATAGGCTGAAACGGCAGAGCAGCTGGGCATAATTTTCCTTCTGCTGAATTATAAGGTCTCGCAGTTTTAGAAGTTGTCGGTGCTTTGCGAGTTTTAACAGTCACTTTACGCTTTGGTAATCGACACTTGATGGCAGGTATACTAACAGAACATGAGGCTTTAGTTTCATCATTGCTTACAGATTGGTTATAAGCTGGGAGATTTGCGAGCTTTTTAATGCATTTCTCTCCATTCATTGTACTAATGGTGGAGCTTCTCGTTTTAACGTTGCTAACGAGCATCTTGTGATTAGCCGCTGGAGTTCAGGGCTTGTGATCTCAGTTAAGGTAAACCGGTTATTAAACTGGACTAAAATGGTTACTGTGTCACAAGGTCGATACAAACCAACCAGGTCGGTAATCACAAAGTGCACCAAGGCGTTCTTTGTTAGTCAGTCGTCCTGTGCACACGTCCACTCTGAGTTCAACTCTGTGCCGTGTCCCGACGCGTCAATCCGTCGGTTTTGGTGGGCGCACACGTACAGTTCAATCCGACAAAGGGTGCGGCGATTGACCGGTAGGATAGGTCCGCACGGAAGTTTGACTTGGGTGATAGTCCACGGGTTCGCTATGTCGTTTGGCGAAAGCAGGGAGAAGATGCAAGTGTTGGTAGCCGCTTTACAAAACTACCGATTTGGCTGGAATCGGTTTTGATGGATGGGCCTCGTGATATGCTTTCCAGTGATTATTCGAACCGCGATCGAAGTAACAAAAGCGTTGATTTTGTCCACTTCCGTTTACACCTGATCGCAGCAGAAATTGGGAATCAGCAGTAGGCGATTATCCGTTAGGAATACAGTCCAGGAAATTTGCGCACTGTGTACGCCCGATCAAGCCTGATCGAATGAGTGTACTCGGGTGAATATGCGATAAGAACTGGATTCAAGAACGACGAAAAGGTAGGAGCAGCGAATTCCGACCGGCGTATTGGACGCCACCTCCTGTTGAAACAACTCAACTATTTGTCGGGCATGAAGAAAAGTGTCGAAACATACGTGCTTTCGTGCAAGTAATGTCAGCTCTTGAAAACTGACTGTCCAGGAGCACATCAACCAGTGATGTCGATCCCGGTATCGGAACTTGGGTAACTATGGCCGATCAACGTGATGGGACTGTTTCCATTGACCAGGCGGGCCAAGCAATGCATCTTGTTGATGACGGAGCACTTTACGCGCTGGAATGAAGCAGCGGGAATCCCGGATCAACGGGCGACCACCATTACCCATGCCGTCATAAAACATTTGATAGCGGATCACGTAATCCTAAAGGCTATATTAACAGACCAGGGTTCGAGCTTTGAGATTAAGCAATTCCGGAACTACTTGGAGAAACGTGGTAGCAAGAAAGTTCGGAGAGCCCCATACCATCTGCAGACAAATGGCTTGACGGCGCATAACAATAGAACGCTTAAAGAGTAGCTACCGGCAAAGGATGGAGACTGGGAGGAAGCTTTGCCACTGTTGTCGCTGACCCATCGAGCATCCAAACAGGCCTCCACAAAGAAAGTATCATTCCAATTGATGTACGGTCGAGTACCTCGTTTACCTGTGGATCTAGAAGTAAGAATGTGGCCAACTTGCCGAATATCTCTCAAAGAGGCACAAGATAATAGGAAGGCAGCCAACCGTAACCTGAAAGCAACTCAGAAGCAGAGTATGGAGTAGTCCAAGACGAACAATGGTGAGGTGAATCTCGAGTTTCCGATCGCTTCGAAGGTGAAATACAGGGACCATCAACGCGCTCCAAACTGTGGTCCAGGAGAGAGGAAACTTCTACTGAAGTGTAAGGGACCGTACGAGGTAGTCGACCGGCGTGTCTCAGTGTATACGATCGCCCGGCAAGGAGATTCACTGCGAGTACATGCCAGTGAGCTGAGGAAGTGGCACGAGTTAGATGAGGAACACCCTTCGCACAGTGAACATCCACGACAGTCAAAGAGACTCCGGGCGAAGGCAGTTGAGGCGAACAATTTGGATGGGGGATGAGGGTGGTGGACTAAAGGCAGACACTACAACGCCAGTTATCAGTTATCAATGGCGTGGTGCAAGGATGCGAAACAGCAACCAGCCAACAGTAGGCCCTACTGACTCCCCCAAAAGAAAGAAACACCTTGGACCCGCGGATGTATGCGCACGAAGAATGGACGCAAAAGCAACGCACACGCAACGAATACTAAACAAAGAATGAAACCCATGCCATGCAATCTGCAACCGAGATGACGAAGATGGGTGGATGTCTCGTTTATCGGAACGGATGCACCCAATCTTTACTATGTTTACACAGTATACAATCGCGCTGACACTTGGGGTTCTTTCAGCATTGTACTGAATCTTCTCTGGTTTAAAAGCAACGTCCTTTGAACGTGGTTTTGAGTGTGTGAAACAGGAAAATTTCTGCAGGCCTTGGTCTGGAGAATACGTTGGTTGCGGCACAACGGCGTTTGATGTTTTGCTGGATAGCTGCGGACAAAGATCGGTGCGTTAGGCTGTTCATTTTCATGATGCGACATCCAAGTATAGTTCTCCCACATTCCAGTCCTCTTCCTGCGTGCACCAAAACGCGAACGAGCTAAAATTTGATGGCATGATCCTACGCTGATGCCCACTTCGTCAGCAAGTTCGCAAACTGTTAAATGACGATTTCCACGGGTTACATCAAGAACTCTCTCGCCATGCTCTTCGTCTGTATATGTGGAAGGGCATACCTGCTTGGGATCGTAAACGATCGATGTTCTACCGTGTTCAATCCATTTAAACCCCTCACAGCACTACGTACGACTCATAGTCTTCCATGTATGCTTGGCTATGTAAATGAGTTCCTGTAAAAGTTGACAATTTTGTTACAAAATTTCACACACTCGCGTTGCTCTTCAAGCTCTTTTATTACCGCTTTGGCACTAATCCGACAAACAGCTTGTACACGTGCTCACTTCAGCGACTATTTCTTCTTAAGCATCAGTTAAAGCAAAATACGACAAATGGCATTTTATAGAAGAGTGGTAGCGGGAGTTGAATGGTATAGATAGAAATTCGTCACATCTAGACTCACTCAGACAGCCGCCACACGCCCGGCAAAAAACACTGTACGCGCGTTTCATCCTTTCTGGAATCGTCTGCAGTGTACATTCCATCAGACCCTGGTAGGGCTGGAACCCGCAATTCGACTGTTGCCAGTCCGTGGTTGAGACCACTGAGCTACGGGGACGGCAACGACCATCGTGAATAAATTACTAGATGTGATATAGCGCCGTTCACCATCCACTGACTTACACGTTACTGCTGTGCATTTTGTTGCCTAAGCAAGACACCACATGCATTCGGTTGCTCCAGCGCGCTCCCTCTGCCGGTTGCCACCTATTGTATAAGTTCGGTTTCTTTTTGAACACCCGTGGTGTGTTGACCGCTTCGGTCCAGTCCCTTGAGTGAACATTTTAAAGGTTTACTCTATTCAACTGCCTCACTATTTGCTACGAACCACAACAAATACCCACACCAAAGTTTCTGCCTAGATAACTTGTGCGTTGCCACAATGAATTAACCACGGCCCCATGGTACCACAAGGAAATCCATCTGGTCTTGCGCTTCAAGTACATTTTATCTATTTAGTTTACAGTGGTGTGTGCTTGTCAGACACCGACTCCTACCAGCGTGCTTTTCGTCGCATCAGCTCACGTGAGCACAAAACCTAGCCACACGCTGTTGCCACTCACGAGGTGCGAACCGTACTCGATGCTTGACCAAATGACAATTTGACGAACGTGACCAAGCATTCTGCTCAATACTAGCCGACTGTAAACCAATCACTGCCCTCCTGATATTCAAGGCCGCACGTTTCTCAGCTTTTCAGCTATTGGCCTGAGGTGACAGCGGAACCAACCAGATCGGCTATCGCTGACTTAATCGTCAGCGCATGTGCGCTCACGTGGCGTGTAAACATTGATTCGTAGCATGCCATAGCCTCTGGAATAGAACGCGCGCGTTGCTGGTATCCCGACAATCACTGTACCCTGTGGCGTATGCATGTCAATTACTCAACAATGGAACTCATCAAGTGAGTTGGTTGAACTGGAATTCATCCGTTTTGTGGGCTTCGCAGTATATCATGAAGGCTGTTGTTTAGTGTGGTTGTTTACAAGTCAATGCGGCACTAGCGAAGCCACAATACAGGACAGCGAAACCGGTTACTGTCCTGTGATGTGGACCTCAATTTCCACCATGTGACGTTTGACAACAGTTTGCAATACAACAGCAGAACTTCAAGACTACCGTTCTTAGAATGTATGCGCTGCTACCATGCACTGTTGACAAAAGGTGGTATCAACTAATTCAATGTTTTAAAATGCACCTTGAATGGATGCAGCTACGACTGAATTCCATTGGTTAGTGTATTTACTAAGTGATGTTTCACTTTTGATACAAAACCAGTGGCATACTTTGTACTGTTTCACACGGTCTGCTGAAGCTTCTGTGACAAAACAGCGTAGTACCAAGAAATTACACCAGCTGATTTCAGGCCCTTCTTAACGCAGGCATGTTAAGCGTCACATTTTCGTATGAATTCGGTAAGCGCGCTGGAGTTATTGGCTCCTATCCGGTGTCGTCGCTCACGTTTATGCACCAAAGTTCTTACTAGAAGTGGTGCGTCACTCGGTTGTTTATGGCGTCAGTTATGGACCAAAGTTACTCCGATATGTGTTCTACCACTGCCTGCAGCCCTACAGCTGGTTTTGTCCCATGTGTGACGTTAGTGCCAAGCCTTCACGACTGCGGACCACAGCATACCTACATCCGGCCGCTCGCACGAAACAAAGTATCAGGACCCGAGCTACCGCGTCGTTCCATCACGATCGATTATAAAAGCTAATTAAGATACTTAGTCGTTTGTGTAGAAAAGTCCCGAATACCCTATCCTGAGATGCGTTTGTCCTGCCCAACGACCCCGTCGCTGTGATTCCCACCACTACTTACCCAAACCTTTTCCTTTTCCTAAACTCAACTTTGTTTTCTCTGGCTTTCAATCCAGATTATGTGATCCAATGTCAACTCAATTCCGAGTCTATGGTCCATTGATCGCCGACACACTGGTTAACCTTGAGTCGAATGGCGCCAGAGGGTAACTGCCAGTGGCTTAGCAACTACTTTTGTCGCCCGGGCGGCATTTATAAATTAGCGAATCCTCAAAATTGGCTCAGGGTAAAGTACATATTAGTTTTCGATGAAATGCTTGATCGTTTCGGGACCCTGAGGTAAATGTAGTGAAAGTGACCGCAATGGGGCAACTAAGGAGATCTCTGGAAAGAACCTTTGCACAGGTCTGATACATGGCGCAAAGGTGTTGTTGGTCACACTGAGTAACATTGAAATATTAACCCTCAGCTTGTCTGGAAATTTTGCCCTTTATATTTGGTGTCGAATACTCGACGGTTCCAAAAATGCCGCCCCTGCCATGTGCCGCACGGGGCGGACCACCCCGCCCTCCCTATGCGACGCCTCTGGTAACTGCTCCCCTACAGATGAGGAGACTCAAAGTTCTCAGATAAATCTGAGGGTTTTGAAGTTCTTTGATGATTCTGAATATCCTCTTGTGCCTGCACCAGAAAACGAAGACTGAAGCGGTGGGTAAGTGATCATCTGATTCCGTTGGCGACGCGATTCATAGTGCTTTAACAGCTAGTGTTGTCGCACTGTCACTAGGCGGCCCGGTGGAACCCACTGGCTTGGCAGTAAAGTCCCGTAGTGGCACAGATACCGTCACAAGCCTGTTGTCCCACACCGTCGAGCGTTCTTCTGTTAAGATAGTTCGATTATCCAACTTGCAAATGTACTAGAGCCAATCAAGGCGACAGACGACATGTTTGGTGAAATAGAAAGAGCCCGGCATCAGTGGCCAAGGGGACTAAAATCGTCTGGTCTTTTGAAGACGCCCTTAAACCGAGAAGTTTATGACATGCTTATTTCAAACTTTAAGTGTCAACAAAGTGCCTATATTTGTATGATAGGTCAGGATGTCGGTACTTCTTCGCCCCATCTTATGAGCCACAGTTTAGGGCTGTACTTTCATGTATGCGGTTGTTATATGTGTTCATCACATTGGATGAATCTCAATTATTCGGTCAGTTTGAAATTATTGTCTCATTCAGTTGTGTTGTTGTATGCAAATGGATGCGGTGTAGCTTCTAGGCACGTGTTGCGGCATTACGTATCCGACCGCATCCAATTGAGTGAGCCGGCATCCATGTAATGACTCGGAGGTGTCTTTTGGCTTCGTGAACGGGCATCGAATTCGTTGCCGCACTACAAATCTAGTGTTTAGTCCAAGGAATTGTATCTCAATGAGAGGATATTACTTGGCTTACTTAGTTGGATGTGATAAATACGGTATTTTGCAAGGAATATTTCTCAAACCTACTTTATTCCTACTACCGGTGGATTGGAGAGATTGCTAGAATATGATCCATCACTTGACGGCCAGGCCAGTATGCATTTGGCGCTTTGCAGCACCTGTTCTATTGTGTTGTTTTTGCATTTGGACTACAGAGCACTCCCAGTCAACTGCGGTTCGTGCGCTTTGTGACACAGGATTACATGTCATTCATCGTTCGTTTAATGAACAGGTCAGCGGAAGCCAACACAAGCAGATCTTTGCTCCAGACAAAGCCTGTTCGATTACACTGTCCTTGTCTTTGGAACACCAAGCCGTCTCGCTCGATTTGTTTGCCTTAGTAGTAGCAATAACTCTGGAAACTGCCATTGGTGCTGCTGGCTTCAGACTGGAACGATAGAACAGACCTCGCCTATAACAATTTGTTTCGCCCGGTGTTGTTATGTTTCTAAGTCTACTTATGTAGTTGACGTCCTATCGAATGCCCCATTGCTGCCAATAAGCTGTGGTCGTTCCAAGACTTAAGGCATAAAATGAGATTTCTAAGTTTTCACCCTAGTGAAGCCAGTTCAATGCAATGTGTTAAAGTGTGAGGTCAGGGTTATCCGTTTTAGAGAAACCCGTTAAGTGGATAACGGTCAATTCCGGCTGTCGCCTCCACGCACGTGGGAGGTGGAGCTTCAGAAGCGCCGTCTGAGAGAAGACCACTGTGAGCACAGTAGACTGACGTGGAGAGGTCCAGACGTACCGCTGTAAGCCTATTAGGGCACATCGAAACCCAGAAGATGATATTTTCGTCAGAGATTTAGCCGGGAGTGTAAAAAAGTCTGAATGCTCTGTCCTGTGATATGTCCTTCCCGTCCAATGATCCCCTCGCTGTGATTTTCACTACTTTATACCCAGCCCTTTTCCTTATCCAAAACCAAACTTTGCTCTGGCCCTCAATCCAGTTTATGGGATCCGATGTCAACTTGACTCTGTGTTCAGTCCTACTTTGAGAATTAGCCCTCTCACATTCAATCGCCAGCACTTTAGCCTAGCTTAAACTTCTAAACACATTTATTATCGCTTTGCATAGTAACGCCAGATTTGTCATCGGTGCTCTACAGTGTTTCAATCTATTTGGACACTAATGTGTAGTATGTTGTTCCATTGACGCGCCATGAGCGTAGCTCATGTTACCTCGCACTGCAGTCGTGACCTCATACTATAGCAGTGTTAATGTGGGTGTGATCACACACACAAAATTATTTCGTACATGCAACCTATTGTTTTCATCCTCCCTTTATTTATGAAAACTGGAACCATTTACCACTATGTGTAAACGCGCAGGTTAAACCTCCACGATGTCAGATGGAATGTGCACTGCCGACGATGCTCGAAAGAGTGAAACGACCACACAGTGCTTTTTCTGGCGTGTGATGGCCTTCTGAGTCCAGATGAGTTTAGCTATTTCGCTTGAATTGAAAGTTGGTGTTTGCGACTTGTGCTGGAAGCACGTACTGTTGAGTACCGTTACCTAATGGTGGCTTTGTTGTTCTTGATTCCGATGGAAACGCGTTCACTCAGGGCTTCCAGGCGGTTTTCTTCTTACACAGGATAATCTTAACAATAAAGATACTTCTATTAGTGTCCAGTGGGTTCGGCGGGTTAGATTGTATAACGCTTATGGATCCATAATGTAATAGCGCCATCGCGTTTAGTAACAAGCCAACTTATCATTTGTGCTCTCCTCCTAGACTCTCTTTCAGGTTTAGCCCCTTGCACCTGTTACCACCTACATCGTCAGTAAATCAATCAGGACCGGTCGAATTTCCGGGGTCAGCATTAGCAGCACGCGGAAGCCGATTGCATTTCTTCGGTTGTTTGTTGTTGCCACAGCTATATTATGGTTACTCTGTAACATCACCAAGCAACTACACTGAGAAATATCCGATGTCTAACTCAACGGCGTTTATTTTCAGGTGGCCACTAGTAGATGGAATTAGTCATCAAAACTGAACACCTACCACGTGACGCTATTAACGGGATCGTGAGCATCGGTCCCTCCCGGGACAAACTGTGGTAAAATGCGCATATGCAGGTGACCTTTACAGTCTCTGACTATGCAATACCTTCATGTGGATCTTCCTACATCTGGTGACATTGCGAGTTAACAACGTCTGGAATGGCTCCGAGACACCATAGCAAGGGCTGTGCCATATTCATGTGCATTAACTCCTACTACTAAAGCAAACAAAGGGACCAGGTGTTTTCACATCACTACAGTGCTAGCTCTGTTGCGAACTTCAAACCGCTCGGTCACTACAGTCGAGCGAATCTGGCCTAGTTCCAGTGCTCTTATCAACCGGTCAGTAGCAATAACCGAAGTACCCACAGCACCTACAATACCGCTAAACCGACAGAATCCGAACCCGGCCACATATCGTACCGCTTACACAGTGGTTGATGCTTCACAAGATCAAAAGCTAACATCAGTGACTTTGCTTGCCGCAAACATAACAGACGATAAGGAAATATGCAAGTCGTCGAATAGTTACTAATTACAACCGGCCAGCCGTCAGCATCACTGGATACCACGCCCCCCACACATCTGAGGAGCAGAAGGAACTACGGAGCTTTGACTATTGTATATACCAACATTTCTGAGTCAAAACTAATTCATAAGA